GACCTAGCTGAGGAATAGGAATGTCCCTGTGTACTCTGGAGTTCACTATAGAGCCCGCGCAGGTGGCCGAATAGCGCCTAGTGGAATAGGATGAAGTGGAATGGAAGCCTTTTTAGTACTCAATGACTAAAGGTCCTGGATTCGAATCCCGGGTGATCCACACCTGGGATTGGATATGACTGACTGATGATGACTTATAGGCCAGAAATGATTACTCCGGTCTCCCTTGTCTTTGTCGGTTCCACTTCATCATATTTCACAAGTCACTATGCGGTTGCCTGCGCAGGCTCTATAGTGAGCTCTAGGACAAAAAGGGACACTTTTCTTAACTAGATCGGCGAGTCCTCTACCATTTACAGCTATACATATAGACAGAATCGTCGTTAAAAGTTTAATCGGAGATACCTAAGTTAGTATCATCAAATACCACCCAAAAGGCTACTGCGAGTGTAAGGCCTTTAGCTTTCTAATCTACGCAAACCCTCTCTATCTTTATGCGACTTAGTGATACGCGCCACTTGGCGCCCCAGAGGGTGTTTGATAGGTGAGGAGCATTGATGCATGTGAGCTAAGAAACACTACTGCTTCTGTTCTAGCAGACCCTAGGCGTCATCAACCTGGTCGTGCCATGATATATGACGTATGCGCACTTAAGTTCAAGTTTCCCACATTCCGAAGTCGAAATTCCATTAAGAAACCATATAAAGTAGTGGCAACAAGGATCCAGGACCCAATTTCAAGACACTGACACGGCCTATCAAAATGAGGTTAGGAATGCGAAAATCGATAAAAGTTAATATATCGATGTAATATTTTCATTGTTTTCTTTAATATGCCATGCAATTGCACGTAGATGAGGCAGGGAAATAGGATGTGGCAACACAAGTCTCCTTCATAAAGATGACTTGGTCAGTTCACTCTATGTAACCATAAATTGCAAGACACGACTCTCTAGGTTACGGATTCCAAATCAGCTGTTTTGCAAATAAATTGTACATAGAGTAAGTTTACTTACGAATGCAACGTAATATGCCAGCCTCAATGATCTGGGGAGCCTGCGTAGGTTTGGATGAATTTAAAGCGTTGGTCCATAAACTACTGCATCTCAGAAGTTTGAACATGCGATCCGTTGTGCCTAGTAAGCAAAAGATGGTACTAAGAGTAAAAGGCAATAGTGTGAAAGTAAACTTCACGTAAGTCTAAATCCTGCGATCAAAATCAACGTAAAGGTCCTTCTTGACGTATAAATCAGAATAAGATATCGGGTGTTTTGTCTGTGGTTTTGCACCTTTGCCTACTAGCGATAGCGACTAATACTGAACTGCCCTCAAGGTCAGCTGAATAATCACTTAAAGTCGAAAACCGCCTAATTCGCCAATTTCTTGCAAAAGATCATGTATTACGTTCACGCTATTCACGTTTGATGGTTGTTAATTTTTATTTGGGCCACTGCGCAGATACAGGTATTCGTATTTCGTCCTCTCAGTGGCCAAAGTGGCCTCTCCTCTACGGTTGGAAATTATCCCGAATTTGATCACTTTATTCGATTTTGTGGTGCCCACTAGTTTAGTTATCGCAAATAACTGCACAAAAAATCTACTTAGAGTCATTTAAAGGGACCGTTTGTTTGTGTATCGTTCAGGGTCTTCGCCTATTAGCGTGTAGAAGTCAAATCCGCCGCATTTTATTTCTTTTCATGGCCGATTTGCGTAAAGGCGCTTTCGAATATCCTTTTTATCAAAAAGGCTTTTGTGATTGTGTTAAATTTTCTCGTATCTGCGCCATCTGGTAGTATACCAACGGTCTGGTCGGAAGGGCTTTTTGGGGGGTCACCTACCTAGAGGGAAATTCTGCGAGGCATCGAAGACCACTGCGCCAAGGACAGTTGTGAAGATGAGGAGGAAGGCGGTGGTGAAGTAGAAGATAACGGGCAGGCTGCCGTTGTGGCCAAAAATTACGCAGACACCCACAGAGAGCATGAGGAGGCCGGTGAGGCGTTCGCGGTCTCCATCTGACAGAAGATTCAGGACCGTTCCGCTCACTGCAAATAATCGTATAGCATTGGGCAGTAGGGGTGTGATTAACCAAGGACAGAAGACTTTCACTGCCATACTGACGTAATGAATAACACCTAGTCGGTGTCGGAGCAAAATCTCTTTGAAAACTGACGCTTTTAGTACCTGCGTAGTGACTCACTCAACAAGAAGTGCTCTTGTGAACGCTTGTCGTGACTAACTTAAGCGAAAGTGTAGTTGTGAGCGCTTGCTGGTTCCGGTCTCTGGAACAGTCAATCAGAGGCCGACTCATAGAGGACCTCATGTGACAACTGCCGAGCAGACATCAGTTCAGGCGCTGTCCGCTGGCTTGCAGTTGTGCAGTTGCATTTCTGGCTTATAAGCTGTTATAAAATAGCCATACCCATGTGCTGGCCCAGTTACGACCGGTTGGTCTGAAATCCAACGTCCTAACCACTGTGCGGCCACTGGCTGGAGCTCGAAAGTGGGCCCCACGGCAAACGGGGTGACGGAAGTCCACAACCGATCGGTGAGCATCCATCTACCAGTTTTGATATTTCCGTTCGAAACCGACAATGCAATAGTTACGCGGCATATTGGGTTAGGGCGTTGGACTGTAAATCCTTCATTCGAACCTCGGGGAATGCACCATTTGGGGTTAAGTATGACTACTGACTACTGAGCCACAAATGGGTATTCCCGTCCGTCTCATCTTCCTGCGTACTATATGCTAAACCCTGAACGACTGCTGGCGGGCTGTCGAGGCAACGCCATGGTAGAGCGGAACGAGTGGTTTGCGCACCTAGTCGTTGAGCATCCATCTGCCATACTAATTTATATTTCAGGTTTTAATTATGTAATCTAAAACGTACTATTTCTTCTCCTGCTGCGGTACGTACATATACCTACTGTCTTGGCTTCTTCTACACATACACGCCAGGTGTCCAAAAAGGCTCCAAATGCAAAAACCGCCCATATGACCCAGAATTCGGTCGGCTACTCCAATGTCGGCAGAGACCTCACAGAGTCCTTTAGGCTAAGTGTAGTGATAGTTTGAAAAACACAGGCGACGAGGTCTATTGCGTTCTCCCCAGGGAGAGAGCGCAGAACCGGTGGCTTGCATGTGAATCCTATCATATTTAGGCAGAAGTGCACTTATAGCAGTCCGCGATCAGCATCACGGCCGTTGGCTTATGCTGCCTTCCCCGGCCAAGCCTTGCGTACTTGCCTTGCCCGGTCGCCTCGCATCACATGGTCAAACAAGCCTGGGCATTAACTGAGCGAGAACTTATATCCAATCAATGTATATCACTTCACTGATTTGCTGCAGGTGACACAGGGCCCACGGCGGACACAGAAA